ACGGAGGGCTGGCTCTGCACTGGGCACCTGGTGGGAGGCAGGGGAAGGACTCTCCCCTGGTCTGGATCTGACTCTGTGTCCTCCCTGCTGTGTGAGCTTAGATGGGTCATTTAACCTCTCTGAGTCTCCGAGAAGACAGGAAAGTCACCGCCCATCTCAGTGGGTTGTCTCGAGGATTGGAGATGAAGGTATGAAGAGGCTGGCACATAGCGGGTACTCAGAAACGGCTGGTATAGGGTGCTATAAAGGGAGAGTGAGGAGAAGGGTAATAGAACAGCCTCGTCTGTGGGCGGTGGCTCCCTGGGGAGGGAGGGCTCCCCCCTGAGGGCAGAATCTTCATGGGGGACCAAGGAGGAAGAGACCCTGGAACTGGACCCTGAGGGTTGGCCAAGAGGAGAGGAAGGGGATGCCTAGAGAAGCAGGAGGCCTGGGAACAGATTTTGATTGTATCACCATCATTATCAACATTTTTGAATACCTACTGTGTGCAGGTGACTGTATTTGGCTCTGAGGGACAGAATTCAGTATTTCTACTATTTAATGAATGAATGTTACAGAAGGTGCTTGGCTTTCATTCATTCATTCAACAAAAAGGTACTGTGCATTTAACTATGTGCCAGGCACTGCTCTGGATGCTAAAAATACAGCAGAGAACCAGACAGACAAAAACTACTGACCTTAACAAGCTGACATTACAGTGAGAGAAGAAGACACAAACATGATGAATACTCTAATGTTGGGAGCCTGGCATATGGTAACACGTGCTGTGAAGAATAATAAAGCGAGGAAAGGGAGACAGGAGAGTGCCGGGGGTGGGAAAAAGTGTCAAGTGAAATGTGGGGAGGTTAGGACATTTGAGCAGACATGGAAATCTGGAGTGGGGGGCACTCCTAGCAAGTGCAAAGGCCCTGGGGTTAGAGCAGCAAGGAGGTCAGTGGAGCTGGAGGAGATGCAGGGCCCCCTGGGAAGGAATTAGACTTTTACCTAGAGGAAATGGGGAGTCACAAGAGGATTCCGAGGAGGGCAGTCTTAGGTATTACCGGTGTCCCTCTGGCTGTTGTGGCAGGGAACAGACTGGAGTGGGGGCGGGGGTGAGAGACACAAGGTCGGAGGCAGGAAGGCCACTGAGGAGAGTGATGGGGCTGGGACCAGGGTGGTTGAGAGCAGAGCCCAGGATCTGCTGATGGATTGGGTGGTGGCGGGGGAGAAACGGGCTCCTGTGATTGTCAGTGACTCGTGCGGGATGCAGGAATCGACATGCCACCTTTGTCCATAGCTCTCCCGCCCTCTCTGGGCCCCTGCGTGTAATTCCTCAGTCCCTTCTTCAAGCCAGGGTGGACAGAACATGCCCAAGGCCCCAGACCTCCAGGGGCTTTTAGAGGAAGCAGGCAGGAAGCCTGGGGCCCAGAGGAGGGACACTTTTCACCCTGGGGCTCCTTTCTCCCAAAGGAAAGGTCAAGGCCAACATGCAAACTTCACACTTCCATAAATGGTCTGTATTTTTCAATAATGCCCTCTTAACGATTTGAGTGTCACATGGTTGTTTTCCCATCAGATGAGTTAGAAAACCCAGACCCCATGACAGGGCAGTGCTGGAGCAGAGCCCATGTCCCCCTCCGCCTCCGCCGCCCCGTTCAGCAATCTGAGGGCTGCACCATCTTTGTGGGCAAAAAAGACCTGGCTCCTTCCCTGGCTCTACAAAAACAGCACGCGCCCCCCCCCCCCCGCCCCGCCCGCTACGGGACTGCCGCCCCCACTGTAGCAGTGGTGACAAATCAATAATGAGAGCTGACAAGCTCTTTCGGTCATGTCCCAGCCTCTGGGCTCTCTCTGCAATAACGTGGGGGTGATAGTAGCACCTGCCGTAGAGGGGTGCTGGCAGGATTTGATGAGTTAAGACACATGGACGGTCCTTGGCACCAACTCTGTGCTCCATAAATGCGGTCGTTATTATCAGTGACAAAGGGCTTGCAGGGCCGCGATTGCTTTACAAGCACCAGGGAAGAAAAGTCAGATGGGCACTGTGCCCATTTGATGGCTTCTGCTCGGAGCACATCAGGCTCCCCCATGGGCGTGACATGTCGGCCACACCGGCTTCCTGACTCTCAGAGAAGCAGCGTTTTCAGTGGCGGCTCCTGATCACCATTCAGGAGGGACCTGGCATTTGATCAGAGTTAAGCCTCTCTCTGGTGCCCAGGGTGGGGGCGTGAGGCTGATTTGCGGGAGGTGTGTCTGGCAGGTGGTGCTGGGGGCCTTCGTGCCCCCCACCCACATCCTCTCCTGCCTCTGTGTGGGTCCAGCCTGGCCCCTCACCATTTCATCCGGTCCTAGCGTTGGGTCGTAGCATCCTCATTTCACAGCGAGGCCCGACACAGTCACGTGAATCGCCTAAGGTCACACAGCAGTTTGGTGACCAAGCAGGGACCCCCAAGGCTAGAGCGACGCGTGCTACCCCAGCTGGGAGCCTGGAGACCTATGACTTGCCTGCATTGAGAGAGGGGCCCCGGCAAGTCCCGTCCCTCCCCCCAGGTCTGGACAGAGTGGAGATTGGTCTCTGCCTTGGTGCATTCCCGGCTATCTGACATGCCAGGGCTTAGCTGCACGGTCCCCTTCCTCCGGGCGTCCAGTGCACTCTAGGTCCTGGCTCCCAGCTCCCTCCAACGCTGGCCAGAGGGTTTTAAAAACTGTGCAATGTATGCACACAAGGCAAAATATAAAAGCCATAAAGGACTGACAGTGACAAATCTCCTTCCCATCACATCCCCCAGCCACCTAGTTCCCTGAAGGCTGCCACGCTACCAGCTTTCCAGAAGTGTTCCCTGTTTGTATATTTCCCCCCATACAAATGGAAGCATCCGTAGCCTCCCTGTTCTGCACCCTACTCCTTTTGTCTCAGTGCCATGGCTTGGGGAGAGCTCCTGTCAGGACCAGAGCATTCTGTTGCCTGCCTGCACCAGAATTTACTTAAGCAGTACCCTGGACGGGCAGCTGGGATGTTTCCAGCCTTTGGCTTTTATAAGCAGTGCTGCAGCAAATGGAATTAGGCAGCGCCAGTTCGCCCCGCTGGCTGGAAGGTGAATTCCTAGGAGCGGCATTGGCATTGTGGGGTGAGGGAGGCGTGCCTCTGTAGTGGGGAAGAGAAGGCACACCCCTGCCCCCTCTGATCAAGGCTCATCAGGTCACTTCCCCACTACCTGGGGTGGGTTTGACCTTCATTCTCATGAATTCTCCACCCGCTCCTGCCCCCACCGCCAGCCTGCTGACAGCTGTGCATTATTTGGATCCCAAAGAGCACAGTTCGGTATGACTTCAAGGGTTCTAGATAGGGCTCTGGCCCCAGAGATGCTTACCTAACCTGGCCGAAAGTCCTTCATTAAATATCCCTGCCTTTTACTTTCCCATATCTATATGCAGCACTCTTTATGAAGTGAACACTGCTTTGTAAGTGAAAAGTGCCAAAGTCAGAAGAAAAAAAATCCAGACCCTTTCTTTGTCCCTTGATGAATTCTAGCCACCTTCCCTCCCATCCACCCCCACTGTGCATGAGTTTGTGGGAAAGTTTATCTGTGGTTTTGTTAAGTGGAAAGGAACACAATATACTTAGGGCCTGGGAGGAGCAAGGTGAAGGCATTCCTGGGTTATTACTGGGAAAAGGGCACTAGCCCCTGGACAGATAGGGAGACTGAGGCCAGAGAAAGGAGGAATATCCTTGACCAAGGATCCTCCCGTGGTGATGCCACCTGCTCTGAGCCTGAAGGTGAGCTGCTGTAAGGGCTGAGCATCTCCTGGACCCCCAGGTTGGACCGAACTTTGCAGAGGCCAGCCCTCCCCCAGTATCCTCATGGCGTGGGCTACCGTAGTCTCTGAGCGGTGCAGAGACAGGGGGGCATCCCCTGGACATCCCCTGTCTTGAGGCTGGCAGCTCCTCATGGGGTCATTCCTGCCCTGGCCTCACTGCCCCTTTGAAGACCAGGTCCCTGGCCCTCTGGGTCCTGTCTGCTGACTACTGAGCCATTCTTGCCGGCGGCGGGGGGGGGGGGGGGGGGGGCAGTGAGGCCTGGGTGGGGGATGGGAGAAGGGCAGCGTCCCCAGCCCTGGGGCAGCACATGGCCTAGATTGGACCGCCGCGATGCCGACCGACAGATCCAGGCCACACAGAGCAGCTCCAGTGTTTACACAGATCACAGTGGTCTGACCCATAGGCCAGGAAGCCACATGTTTGGGAATCTTAAGGAGACATGTAAGTGACTAATGGAGGCTTTGGAGGCCGGGTACCAGGGCAGCCAAAAGGGCATTTACAGGGGCCCAGCCTGGGCCAGGGAACTCAAGTCCAGGCTCCAGGTGGGGCATCTGGGGAGGTTCTAAGGGGCTGAGATCAGGGACTCTGCTGTGTGGGGGAGCTGAGGAGGGTATTTTGGGCCTGGTGCAAGGGTTCAGGTGGATCAGGGTGGGGACAGTGCGAACAGGGACAGATTGAAAAGCCACCTGGGGTTCATTGAGCCCCAGTGGGTCCTACGGGGTGCCAGGTCCTGGGGAGGGGGTACAGGACATGCATAAAGATTAGCCCGATTGCTGGTTTTGAGGAGCTGTGTGTGTCTATGAGGCAAACTGCGAGCTTATATAAAGCCAATATGTAATTGTGTGTCTCTAATTTGGCTCTGAGTCCAAGAGTCCGAAAACATTTGTGGTTGGGGTAGGCTTCTGAGAAGAGCTGCCACACTGGAGCTGGAGAATGGATCTGGGGGAGAAGGGAGGGAGAGGATGTGGGCTGAAGGGCTCATGGAGGACAGGTGGGGGGATGCGCACAAGGGGTGCTACGAGCTTACTCTTGGGGTTACGCCAGGGATGGCGAGCCAATCACCCGGCAGGAAGTCCCCATCCCAATGCAAGGCCCAAGCCTGTGGAGCCCTCATGCCCACAGCACGTTGGGGCCCCAGGCCTGGAATGGGGCACGTGGGGCACTTCCTCCCTCTCCGGGGATCTCTCTTCTACCCTCCCAGCGCATGAGCAGCCCCGCCTGCTGACTGCCACTGCACACCCACCTGTCCCCCACCCCCGCGGCTACACCATGTCTGGCTCCTACGACGAGGCCTCGCTAGCTCCAGAGGAGACCACTGACAGCTTCTGGGAGGTGAGACAGCTTCTGTGACGGCCCAGGCTCCCACCCCCCACCACCTCAGGCCTTGCTCCCCAGTCCCTCGGGTCCCTCCAAAGCCCTCGGTGTTCAGTGAAATAGGTTAAGACGACTGCCCACCCAGCCCAGAGCCCCTCTGGCCTGGCTGCCTCTGGGGAGATCCTGCAGCATTTCTGGATGTGGACCAGGCTCCTCTGCCTGCTCTCAGACCCCGGCTTCACAGCTTACACAGCCTTTCGCAGCGGCTCCCCGCCCCCGCCCCTGTGGCGTGAATTCCAGAAGCCCCACAGCAACAAAGAGGTGGCGACAAGCCTAGAAACCAGCATTTCAGGAGCCTCCCAAACTATTTGAGACCAAGAAATACAATTTTTTCGATTGGCTTCCAAGACCCAAAGTGAAAACTGCCAAACCTGTATTAATAAGTGTTTAATGAGGTGTCTACAAAACATAATATTATGTCAAGAAGCTGCAGCTCAGCTCAACACTTACATGCCTCTCTAAATATAATACATTTAGCTCACAAGAACAAAATGAATAATTCATTCTAGTCTGGGTCCAGATTATAAAAATCTTGCACTTTGTGGCAGCGAGGAAATTATGTGTCAAGTGGGGTGAGGGAGTGCATAGCCCGTCGGGTATGATGCAGGGCGCTGAGGTCCCCAAAAGTGAGAGCGGGGGAGCCCCCAATGCGTTCCGGCGGGGCTGCGAGGCTTCACCTCGGGGTCAAGATGGACGCGGCGGGCGCCCCCTGCAGGCCGCGGCGTCCTGGGCGGGTTGGGGTCGGGGGGGAGGCGGGGAGCCCGCGGGAGTCGAGCTCGCTGCTTGGCCGCCAGGTGGGGAACTACAAGCGGACGGTGAAGCGCATCGATGACGGCCACCGCCTGTGTAACGACCTGATGAACTGCGTGCAGGAGCGCGCCAAGATCGAGAAGGCGTACGCGCAGCAGCTCACCGACTGGGCCAAGCGCTGGCGCCAGCTCATCGAGAAAGGTGCCTCCATGCCCACCCCGGGCGCATCGCCCCGGCCCTCTCCGGCTGCCCACAGTCTGGGGCCCCGGGAGCACCCCGCGAGCCGGATGCATCTGCCCCCACTCTGGCCACCGGGCCATTGAAGGCACCGTCCCCACACCCGCGCTCTGACCCTCCCACACCAAGCCAGGTCTCCCGGTCCCTGTTCAACTCGACTTTGTACAATTTTAGGTTGGATTAAAAAGACAAAACCAAACCAGACAACCTTTTTATTTCCAAATAATTTTAACTTAGAGAAAAGGTGCAAGAATTGTGGAGAGAGCTACACAGTCTTCAACCAGATTCACCAGTGAACGTTTTACCATGTTGTTTCTGCAGTCCCTCTTTCTTTGGTGCATATGTTTTTCTGAACCATTTTAAGTGGGAGACCTCCCACTTTACCCTAAATCCTTCACGTATCTCCCAAGAATAAGAACATTTGTTTACATAACCGTGGTTCACCGATCAAGCTTGGGACATTTAATATGGCCCATATGCAAATTTTATTATAGCAATTGTTTGTGCTGGTCCAGAAGGCGATCCAAAATCACATCCTGCATTTAGTTGTTCTGTCTGTAGATTCCTTTAATCTGGAACACTTTCAGGTTGGGGCTTCCATGTAATTGTTAAATTTTTTTTTTCTTCCATGAGACCCTAACTCGCACGAGGGCAGGGGCTGAGCCTGGTACTCCCCAGCATGGTGCCTGGCCCAGAGCTGATGCCCAATATAGAGACCAACAAATGACTGGAATGTCTGGTCCCAGTGGCCTCCTGGCATCTGCCACCACCTGCGTCTTCAGTATTATGTTCAGTCAACATTCCTGAAGCACCTACTGTGTGCTTGGTGCTGCGCTGGGCTTGTGAGGGCTTGCGGGGTCCAGGCTGCCCCCCACGGGGCTCACCAGCTGACAGGGGAGATAGGAAGTGGACACAGAGGCAGATGCTATACGAAGAATTCAGTGAGGGCTGCAGGCTGCAGGTGTGAGAACGGAGCAGTCAGAGAAGGCTTCCTGGAGGAGGTGCGTGGGCCCTGAAGGACGGATAAAACTGTAAAGAGAGCAGGGGAGGGCATTTCTGCAGACACGGCAGGTACGGGGAAAGCCTCAGAGAAAGGAGGCATGAGGGAGGCCCCTGGGCGGCGCGTGATGAGGGCCTCGTGACCCCATGACCGTTTCCTCAGGGCCACAGTATGGCAGCCTGGAGCGGGCCTGGGGGGCCATCATGACGGAGGCGGACAAGGTGAGCGAACTGCACCAGGAAGTGAAGAACAACCTGCTGAACGAGGACCTGGAGAAGGTCAAGAACTGGCAGAAGGATGCCTATCACAAGCAGATCATGGGCGGCTTCAAGGAGACCAAGGAAGCTGAAGACGGCTTCCGCAAAGCCCAGAAGCCCTGGGCCAAGAAGATGAAGGAGGTGCCCTGTGGGTGGCTGCTGCAGATGGGGCAAGGGTGGGCAGCCGAGCTTGAGGGGGGGGGCAGTCTGATCAGAGGGGGCGAGTCGACAGAGGGGGCGGGCAGGACATCACCCGCTGGGGTTGTGCCCGTGGGGAGCAGCCCTGCCTTGCCGGCAGAAACATCCACCGATGGGTGGGCATGCTCCCAGATACCTGGAGCCGGGCCCTACATCCCTCCTGCCTCTTCCGAATGTGTGCTCCCAGCCCCCAGCGGGGGAGGGCTTGACGAGGGACCCCGTCTGTTCCTGCTCGTAAGTAGGAGCTCTCCCTCCTGCTCCCTCTGCCCCTCAGCTAGAGGCAGCAAAGAAGGCCTACCATCTGGCCTGCAAGGAGGAGAAGCTGGCCATGACGCGGGAGATGAATAGCAAGACCGAGCAGTCAGTCACGCCTGAGCAGCAGAAGAAGCTGCAGGACAAAGTGGACAAGTGCAAGCAGGACGTACAGAAGGTGCCGCAGGCCTGGCGGCCGAGAGCCCCTTGGAGTGGGAGGCGGCTGGGAGCTGCACGCCTGGGTCTCACCCTTCCTTTGCCCCGGTGCCCACAGACGCAGGAGAAGTATGAGAAGGTCCTGGATGACGTGGGCAAGACCACGCCCCAGTACATGGAGGGCATGGAGCAGGTGTTCGAGCAGTGCCAGCATTTCGAGGAAAAGCGGCTGGTCTTCCTCAAGGAGGTGCTGCTGGACATCAAACGTCACCTCAACTTGGCCGAGAATAGCAGGTAGCTGGGCATGGCGGCGTGGCGGGCGAGGGCACGGACGGCAGAGGGTGGAAGTGTGTGCAAGGCGCCCTGGGCCCTATGGTACCAGGATGGGGGCGGGGGCAGAGCAGCAGGGGCCCAGTGACTGCCTGGGTGCCGCTGACACAGACTGGGCCCTAGAAAAACAGCGGGTGTTGCTCTGGAGGGTTGGGGGAGTGGCTAAAGCGGGGATAGGGAAGGGTGCGCATGCGGGGATTGCTCCTTAGCCAGCCCACCTCATCCCTAGCTGGGGCGCCTGCCAGCACCCTGGTCCCCTGAATGGGCTCCCTCTGGCCATCAGCGAGGATGAGAAGGGGCCATGGTGCATCTTGCCCCATCTCCCCCATGCACAGCTATGTCCACGTGTACCGGGAGCTGGAGCAGGCCATCCGGGGGGCCGACGCCCAGGATGACCTTAGGTGGTTCCGCAGCACCAGCGGCCCTGGCATGCCCATGAACTGGCCCCAGTTTGAGGTGAGGAGGTGTGGGGATGGGGAAGGGAAGTCAGAAAAGGCTGGAAGAGACCTCAGGGGGCAGCCCCCCTGCCTCACTGCTCCCCTGGTGCCCACTAGGAGTGGAACCCAGACCTTCCTCACACCGCCGCCAAGAAAGAGAAGCAGCCCAAGAAGACAGAGGGCGTGACGCTGACCAATGCCACTGGAGTGGTGGAGACCACATCCCAGGCTGGGGACCGTGGCAGGTGAGTGCCTCCTGTAGAGCTTCCTGGGTCCAGAGGGGCCCACATACTGGGGCAGATGAGTTTTACCTCAGGAGACAAGAAATGATCTAAATCACAGCAACCTCATGCTCCTCTCAAAGATAGTGGCAGGGCTTCCTTTGAGGGCACCTACTGTGTGCCAGGCACTGTTGTAAGCATTTTCCATATATTAACTTATTGAAGCCTCCCAACACTCTGAAAAGTGTATAGAGTTACATTTTGCAGATGGAGAAACTGAAACCCAGAGAGATTAAGTGACTTACCCAAGGTCACACAGCTAGTTAGTAAGCCTCAGAGCCAGGACATGAGGTCCAAGAGGTCACGCTGCTTAACCACGAGGTGCCCTTCTCAGATGAGGGGTCCGATGTTCTCAGGGGTCCACTTCAGCGTCCCCTCACTCAAGGGCTGGGTAATAATGCTAATAGTCCTGCCTCCCATTTGTCGAAAGAGCTGTCAGTGAGGATCACTGGCTTGGGACCTCCTCTTACAGGGCCCATCCCTGCTCCCGCCTTGGTGGGATTTGGGGCCAGGGCTCTGACCGGCAGGAGGGGGCAGCCCTAAGGACGAGGGGAGAGGCAGTTCATGCTGGGTCTTCTCCTTAACGTCTCAGCGTTAGCAGCTACGACAGGGGCCAGCCTTATGCCACCGAGTGGTCGGACGACGAGAGCGGGAACCCATTTGGGGGCAATGAGGCCAACGGGGGCTCCAACCCCTTCGAGGACGACGCCAAGGGAGTGCGTGTGCGGGCACTCTATGACTACGACGGCCAGGAGCAGGATGAGCTCAGCTTCAAGGCTGGTATGGTGGGCGGGGCGGGGCGGGGCCTGAGGGCAGGGGATGCCGGGATTTGCCGGGAATGCGGCTGAGGGCGTGGCCTGGTGCGTGGGCGGGGCCAACCCTGGAGTGGGACCCCAGAGTACGGTGGGGGCGGGGCCTGAGGGCAGGGGCTGCTAGGAGAAGGGCCCGAACCCGAAAAAGGAAGCCAGAGGCGGGGCCTGGGCTTGGGGCGGGGTGGGCAGGGCCGAGACCCAGATAAGGTGGGTTTTTTTTTTAATTTAATTTTATTTTATTATGTTATGTTAGTCACCATACAATACATCACCAGTTTTCGATGCAGTGATCCACGATTCATTGTTTTCATACAACACCCAGTGCTCCATGCAGTACGTGCCCTCCTTAATACCCATCACCGGGCTAACCAATCCCCGCACCCCCTCCCCTCTAGAACCCTCAGTTTGTTTCTTAGAGTCCATAGTGTCTCATGGTTTGGCTCCCCCTCCGATTAACCCCCCTTCATTTTTCCCTTCCTTCTCCTAATGTTCTCCATGCTGTTCCTTATGTTCCACAAATAAGTGAAACCATATGATAATTGACTTTCTCTGCTTATTTCACTTAGCATAATCTCCAACAAGGTGTTTGGCGCGAGGCAGCCCGTGGGGGGTCGGGGTGTACTGGGGCTGGTCTCCCGAGCAGCACTGGAGCAGTCATGGGAGGGATTGGGGTTGGCCCAGAATAATGGTATCGGAGAGCTTACCTAGCATTGTGGGGTTGGGGGTGGCTCTTTCTGAGCCCCTGTCGATGCGCTCCTCTGTGTCCCCTTCCTAGGAGATGAGCTCACCAAGCTCGGCGAGGAGGATGAGCAAGGATGGTGCCGCGGGCGGCTGGACAGTGGGCAGCTGGGCCTCTATCCCGCCAACTATGTGGAGGCCATCTAGCTGCCCTGCTCCCCTCCACACCACCCCTCACTCCTCGTCCACTGCCTCCCCTCCCTTCTCTCTCTCGTCCCTCTTCCCTCGCCATAGAGTTCCAGACATATTTTCCGATCAAGCTTTTATTTTTTTAAAAGTCAAAACAGAACAAAACAAAAAATACAGAGACAGAAGCATTTGCAGGGCCGCCTGGAGGCCAGGGTGGTGGGACTCGGGGTGATGGCCCCAGGGTAGGTGAGGGTCTTAGTACTTAGCCCAACAGAGACATTGCAACATCTGCTCTTCAGATCCCACCAAAGAATCTCCTGAGCCCTGAGGGTTGTCTCCCGGACCCTTCTCTCCTGCCTCACTCCCCAGAGACTACGCTTTCCACCCCTGCCCCCCCCACCCCAGGTTGCCAGTGTCTGTCCCCCTCCTCTTCTCTGGGCCTGGTTTTCTGACCTCTTCCTTCTGCCCCACCATGCTCCCCTCCCTCCACCACCCCACTGTCAAAGGCCTCCGCTCCAGACCCCAGAGAAGGGGGGGCCTCCCAGTCTTTAGTCTTCCGTTTTGCCCTGGGGAGTACCCTTCTCCTAGCCCCACCCCTAAGGACTGGTGGGGCTGGAGGAGGAATGGTCACTCTCTTCTACCATAGACATTTCCTGGGATCCCTAGACTCCCCCAGACATGACAAGGGGAGAGCTGGAGGTGGTGACAGTGTCACCGGGGTGTAGGAGGGTGAGTGAAGAGGGGGCAGGCCCTCGGTCCTCTCAACACCAGGCTCAGCTGAGGAACCAAGACCCTGCTGGGGCCCTTCTTTCCGGCTATCAGCAAATTTGGGCACAAGCTCTTAGAGCCCTACCCCGCGGTCACTTGCAGAAACCCTGCCCCCCTCTCCTAAGTCCTCAGGCAGGGGGAGAGGCCGCAAAGCCCAGGGCAAAGCCAGCAACAGTAGCAGCCTCCTTCCATTTCCTGGGGAGGAGGGCACCTTGCCCACCCACCTCCCTCCCTCCACGTGCATCTAAAACCGCAGATTCACTAGGTTCAGCCAGCCTCTAGGAGACAGACAGCCTTGTGGCCTCCCATCCCTCTCTGCCTTTCTCTGGCCTTCCCGAGAAGACACTGCAAGGCCCAAGGGGATCTCCAGCCTGGAACCATCAGGAACACTGTAGCGCCAATGGGAAAGACATGGCTTTGGAGGAGGGAGGAACCGAGGCTCTCTGGAGCAGAACTGTCCCATGTCTTTCTTCCTTGTCCCCTCCTCCCCAACCGGCCCTTGTCCCTGGAGCAAAATTCCCCCAGCTGACAGCCGCTCCAATATCTCTAGGCCTGGGTCTCAGTGAAAGGACTTTTTGGGGAGGGGGAGGTAGGGGAGGCAAAGGGCCTGCCCAGAGCTAGAGTGTTTCCTGGGGTTGGTGAAGGAAAGCAGTGTTGGGTTACCAAGTAGTAGTACCACGTTCCAGCATCTCCCACACATGTGGGCACAGGGTCTTGGGAAGCAGACCAGGGCAGGACAAAAGCTCAAGGGCACGGGGGTTGGTGGGGGGGAATGGCTGGAAGGAGGAGTCTCTCTGGAACCTCTGGGGCGAGGCCCCGGGACTTCTTGTAGCTCGAGGAGAGCTTCTGGGCCTTAGGACTGCAGACACCCTACCTGCCCCCTTCCACAGCACCTGGCTCCCGGGGCCTCCAGATAAAGACAGTGTGATACCCCAGCCCTTCCGGTACCCCTCAGTCCTCTTTTGCTCCCTGCTTCTTCTCCCAACACTCCACTGATGGGTCGTGGACCCCAGCCTCCAGACCCTGACCTTGTTCATGTGTGCCAGAGGATCCTGGCAGACTCTGGCAGGGGCCTCAGCGGGCCAGGCCTCCCTCAGGGCCAGGGGAGTTGGAGGGTGGTGACGATGGCACCCCCAGGGACAAGCAAACTTCGCCCCCCATCCCGGACCCCCATTTCCTGTCACTGTCTGCTCTCTGGGCATCTGCTGCAGCCTGAGATGTGCCCTAGGCCCCTCAGAGCCCAAAGCAAGATTTCGGGGGCCCTCTGCCCTCCCAACTCTAGACCAAAAGCCTCTTCAGCCTCTCCTCCAGGCGGGAGTTGAGGTTGGGGGCCTTTGACCTTTACCACGTACCCTTGGAAGGCAGGAAGCTGGCACATCCACGCCTTGAGGCCGGGGCTCCCCCTCTCTGTGCCGGTAGCTTTCTTGCACCTGGGGAGGGTCTGGTCCTGGCTGGACCCCAGACCTGTCCCCTCAGCACCGCAGCTCCCCACTCCGGAGCAGGGACTTGAAGTCCCATTCTTTCTGAGCAACCACCTCCACGGCCCGGTTTGGGACCACTGTCTCTCAGTCCCCAGGCTCTTCAGGACCCCGGAATGGGAGGGTCTCCCACCCGGCAGTCCCCCCCTGAGCCCTAGGGGCCCAGCCCCACCTGTCAGTGCTGGTGTCGGGGCACTCACCCCCCAGCGTGGGGGCCACGCCCCTCGCTGTGCCCACCATCTCTCGTAGCCCCCTCCCCGCACCCTCAGTGCTGCACGGGTCTGCCCTGTGGGGCTCGGCGACTCGTGTGTTTTTGTCCCTAGTTAACCACCGTTCTGCGGCCTGGCTCTGCCGGGGCCGGGGCTGCCCTGCCACCTGCCATCTGCTGCCCTAGGCTTCCTGATTCCATTAGTCCGACACTTGTGACCCTCCGAGAAGTGCTGTGGTCTCAGCAATGCACCTGTTTTGTACATGATCGTGTAATTTAAAGGTATATAAATACAAATATATATCTATCAGTTGTGATTGTATGACTGTGGATAAAATCCAGAACTGTGTCAACCTGGCTGGACGTGGTCCTCTTGAGTCTTGTGTGTCTTTCGAACTCTCTGGAGTTATCCGTGGTTGGGAGGTGTGTCGGGGAGGTGGTGCCCAGCATGCCGAGTGCTGTCCTGGCTGACTGCCAGTGGGCTGGAGGACTGAGGGCTGGGTCCTAACCTTCCAGGGCCCTGAGCCCTGTCTGCACAGGGCGGGTGACGGATGGTCTCTGAAGCTCCTGAGACTGTGGCCCTAGGGTTCTGGGAGCCTGGTGATGAGCACTGACCAAGAGCGCTAGAGTTCCAGGGTGACCCCTAAATAGGTTTTAATTTTTATTTATTTGTTTTTAAGATTTTATTTATTTATTAATTTGAGAGAGACCAGCAGGGGCATGGGTGGAGTAGAAGGAGAGGAAGAAGCAGACTCCCCACTGAGCGCAGAGCCCCATGTGGGGCTTGATCCCACGACCCTGAGATCATGACCCGAGCTGAAAGCAAGAGTCAGAGGCTAACCCACCCAGCCACCCAGGTGCCCCAAGGGAGACAGAATCTTAAGCAGACTCTGTGCTGAGCACTGAGCGCAGAGCCCCACAGGGGGCTCGATCCCACGACCCTGAGATCATGACCCAAGCTGAAAGCAAGAGTCGCATGCTCAGCCCACTGAGCCACCCAGGCACCCCAGGTTTTAGTTTCACTGTAAGAGTGACTGCTGAGGCCTGTGGCTCCTGGTTGTTCACAATCCCAGCTCCCTGTTGTGTGACATCAGATCATGTCACGTTTTTCCTGTGTCCTGCTCATCCTGCGACAGCATTTCTGTGAGGGACCCCGGGGAGGGCTCCTCCAGGAGGATTGCTCAAGGGAGTGGGCAGGACTGAGGAGGCTGTGGGCTCTCAGCGCTGATGTGCCAGGCCCTCACTCTGCCCCAGCCCTGCTTCCAGCCTCCCCACCCGCAGCCAGATCTCCTCTCGGCTGGGCAGGAGTCCCAGGTGGCCGGCCAGGTCTGCGCCAGTTCACTGCATCCTCACCTGCACCCCAGCCTCAGCTTCCCCCAGTCAGGTCGGATAGCTCTCCAAGACCCCTCTGGCCCGGGCAGCCTGGCAGAGCCTTGACACAAACCCATGATTCAAAGCAAATGTCCCACAGCCCCCCTTGCCCTTGCTGCTCTCCCCTGGCCTCTGGACAAACGGGGAGAATAGGTCAAAGGGGGGGTTGATCTGTTCACCACCCCATGTCCTTTATCCCCCAGATCCAGCATGAGTGACCAGCCCCTGGTTTTAGCTACACAGAAGACCCTTCAAATAAAGACCAAACTTGGCCTTATTTGTGCAGGCTCTTGCATGCAGTCGTGGGGAGCCCTGCAGGAGGGTCTGGGGAAGAGTGTCAGGGAATACCTGGGCTGGATGGAGTTCTGACGGGCAGGTGTTCGGAGGAGGAAGAGGAATTTGGAGTTTGTTGTCAGCACACGAGGTGTCAGTGGATGGGTGTGTGCCTGCCAAGGGGATGTGTGCCTCGTGGCAGAGCCTCTCAGCAAGGAGCTGCCTCACCCCACCCCCCAGAGCGCCCCTTTCTGGAGGAACTCCAGCTCCCCACTCCTAGCCAGGAATCCCCCTTCCTTTCCTCCCTCCCAGCCCCAGCCTGAGACTCCAAGCTGCTCCAGGCCCAGGTCCAGCTGGGGGCACGCAAGCAGGTGGCTCCGGGGACTCCGCTAGGGGCAGGGCAGGAAGGCTGGAGACAAAACCAGTTCAGCAGAGCTGAGCTGAGCGCTGGCTGGGGTCCCAGGCGGCCCCCTTCCTGGGAGGAGGCAGACAGCCGGGGGCCCAGGAGAGGCACAGGCTTGGGGCAGGGCCCCCTCCTCCTGCCAGTCCAGTCCCAACTGACAGATGCCAAGGTGTTGTTTGCTCATTGTCAGGAGTAAACTTTCTTCTGGAGACAATAAAATTGCCGGGAGCAGAAGGCAGCAGTATGGGGCAGCATTTAACCCTCAGTGGTCCGGGCAGTGCTGGCTGGCTCCCAGTCCCGTCTCCTGTGAGCCTGGCATCAGAAGTGGAGGGTTATGGAGGCGAAAGGTGGTGACCAGTCACAGAGCAAGAGGCATGGAGGGGCAGAGAGAGCATGGTCATTGTGGGTTCAGTGCTTGGTTCTGCCACCGATTGGCTGTGTGACTCTGAGTAAGTCACTTAACTGCCCTGAACCTGTTTCATTGTCTGCAGAAGAGCAGAGTAGCCCCTACCTCACAGTTTTGTTGGGAAGGTTAATGACAAAAAAGCAGTGGAAGCACCTAGTATGTAGTCGGTCCTCAGGACACGGGAGCTGGCTGAACAAATGTGGGGGAGCTGAGACATGCTGCCCCCCCGGAGAGTGGGTGGGAGGTCCCCATCTCCCCCAGCGCACACGCGCACCCACACACATTCTGACCCCCACCTCTTCCCATCGGTGTGGGGGGCTTCGCAGGGGGCATTGCAAATGTCTGTGACTCTCTCCGAGAGAGACACCACAAACAAGCCAACCTCTCTTCCACCCCGTCTGCTGCTGCAGAGCCAGGGTCCCACGGTGGGGTCTGAAGTGCCCACCCTTTCCTGCACCCCTGCCGTCCCATCCCAGAGCCCCCCTCGCAGAGACAGGGGCTCAGGCACCCCCCCCCGTAAGAGGGTTAGCACCCTGGCCACCGCAGGCAGAAACCCCGATCTACAGCAGAGCAAGAGGGTGTGGAGAATGTTGCTTTCTCTCCATTCCAAAGTAGGGGAGACTCCCCCCGGCTCCAGTCCTGCTCCTCCTCCCTTTCGGCCCCCACCTGGGAGGGGGGAGGAGATGAGGGCCATTCCAGCCCCTCCTTGGCCTTGACGGCTCACTGCCCCTTGCCTACAGCTTCTACCAATCAATGATCCCTTTCCTTGTGGGCTCAGCTTGATGCTGCCTCCCCCAGGAAAGCCTCTTTTAACACCCCCCCCCAAGGCCACTGTGACCACAACCACTCTGAACATTGGTGGCCTCAGGGATGTGCCACTCACTTGCTGCGCAGACAGTGGGGTTGTGTTGGTTCTCTAATATCTTTATTACGCGTTCCCAGGAGCACCCCTGGCTCCCCAACTCAGGGGTGCAAACATCTCCCAGCACCACGCCAAGCATGGTGCAGAATGGGTGGCAGGGAGCACTGGACTGCGAGTGGCCTTGGCTAAGTCACTGCCATCGGCTGGCTCTGCTCTGGAAATTCTGGGGTCAGAGACTGGGGTGGAGGGACGGCCTTCCCTGGGGAGCCGTGAACACTGAGGACTGCCCGGGCTCCTTCCATCCTCCAGTGGACCAGGTACGTGAGCCGTCAGGCCCGAGGAGGAAGCATCCCCACCCTGGGGTCCCTTGGGCCCTGGAGAGCTCACTTAGCCCCCGGGGAGCTGTGGGCTGCCCCCTCCCTGACCTTGGACTCCGATGCCAGCCGACTGCCCTCTCCCTCAGCTCAGGCTCTGGCAGAGGTAGGGACGGGCAGGAGGGAGGGTGGGTGAGGGCGAGTTTCAGGCCTAGGGCCTGGCCCGCAGCCCTCAGATGGGGTGCACAAACTGGTAGACGAGGCGCTGGGAGATGTCCGGCTTCCGGATGATGCCCTTCTTGTAATACTGGCGGATGGAGCGGCTCAGCTTGTCGTAGTTCATGGCAGGCCGGTTCTTGCGGATGCCCCACAGCCGGGCCACCTGGGCGGAGTCCTCGATTTTGAAGATGCCTGAGGGAGCAGGGGGGGTGGCGGGGGGGGGGTGTCAGAGAGAGCCAGCCGTGCAAGGTGTGGAGGGGCAGTGTCAGGAGGGTAAAAGACCAAAACCAACAGGTCAGACTCAGAAAGCCAAGGAGGCCAGTGTCAGCAGGGAGCAAGTACCAGGCTGGGGAGGCCATAAGACCTAGTCCCAAGTTTGTGCTGAGGGTCAAAGGCATCCGTGCAGAGTGCGTCACGGGGCCCAACAAAATGGCAAAGCTACCCTGGAGTCACCAAGGGTGAGCCTATGCCCATTAGCGGGCCTGGCCCCAGCTAGCCTCTGATCCCGCCGCGGGGTTGGCACACCGGACCCAGAAGCCCTCCGGGGCTCTGCACTGTGTCCACGGCCCACCTGTCAAGGTCGTCCCCCCCTCCACCCCCGCCGCCTTCCCCGGCTGATGCCAAGCCTGAAAGAGCTCTTTGCTGGCCTCAGACATTAAGCCAGCACGGCCCTTTCTGGTAGGATCCATTCAGAGCAGGGGGTGGAAAGAGAGAATTTGGAGCCAGGCTGACCTGGGTTTGAAGCCTGGCTCTGCCATATTCTACCTTTAGAAGCTGTCTGAGGCCCCTTTCTCCAATCGGTGGAGGGGGTGGTGGCGACTACCATTTGTTGAGTGGTGACAGAGAGCTTACAGCGGAGCCTGAAGGAGCTGCCCCTTGTGAGGAACTATTACACTGTTAACACCCCAGTTCTCCTGGCAAACCCAGGCCAGCACACCCCCCTCCAGGAAGCCTTCCCAGATCACTCTGCCCTCCCTGATCTCTTTTCCCTCAAAATCTACCATGGAACCATCTCCCTGAGGACCGGCTCGCATTAAGTCTCAAATATACACGAGGGTTACAGCCCCTTATGCAGGAACTTCGCTCCACCCCCTCTAACCCCGCTCGTCCTTCCCACTCAGCCCAAGTCACCTCCCCCATGAAGTCCTCCTGGACCAAGACTCAGCTGCCCCCATTGCCCCATCGAAGCCCCGACATGCTCTGTAGGCCAGCTCCTTTCACTGCTAGCTCTCCCACAACACTGCAGATCCCTCAAGGATGGGGTGCAGCTGAATCCTCCCTAGACCGTCGGGACACTAATTCTCTGTAAATGTTTCCTGGGCAAGTGTGGACAGAGGTACTCAATGAAGGGTTGTTGGATGAATGGATCCGGTCCATTTTATAGATAGGAAGACTGAGGTCCCGGTACCCGTAGCTACAGATGACAGGACGGGGCCTAAAACCCAGGTTTCTTGACTCTGAGTGTTTTCCAACACACACACACACACACACACACACACACACACCATCTAGTCCTGTCCAATGAGGTAACCACTTGCCATATGTGGCCCTGAGCACTTGAAATCTGGCAAATCTGAATTGAGATGGGCTGTAAGTGTAAAATACACACCAGATTTTGAAGACTTAGTAAGACTATCTCATTAATAATTTTATATTGATTATATGTTGAAATTTTAATGTTATAATATTAGATTAAATAAAAGTATTATTAAAATGAAATTCACCTGTTTAAACATTTTTATAATGTGGTTACTGGGAATTCTAATACTGCCTATGTGGCTCGCATGAGGTTTCTCACTGGACCCCAGCAGTCTCCCTGGTGAAGCTACAATGTGTTGCAGGCAAAGACTGTGTCCAATTCTCAGCCCAGTTTGAAGCCCTTAGTATGTCCCGGGCACTGTGTGGAGCCGGGTGTCCTAAATAAGACAGAGCTCGGCCGGGAGACAGAGGCGGACACGAACGCACACAGACCCCGGGCCAGGCCAGTGATGGCCCGGTGTCTGGCATTCAGGGCAATGGTGGGGGTGGCTCCCCTCTGCCCAGCCCCCAGCCCCCCCCCCGTGCCTGGCACCTGGTGGGGGCCAGCAGGGGCCCCCCCCCCCACTGCTCACCCTTCTCCTTGTTGAGCCACCGGATGAAGCGGCCATAGCTGTGGGGCTTGAGCAGCAGCTCCTTGAGGAACTGCCACAGGTGGATGGGCTGCCCGGAGCAGGATGAGTCCACCTCGCTGTCGGTCCAGCTGTCCTCGCTGGTGGAGGCTGGGCAGCCGGGGAGGGTGGCAGTGAGTGGGGGGGCCCCCTGCTTCAGGGGCAGCCATCCCTCAAACCCGGCCCCCAGGCCTCTGGCCCCTCCCTGCCGGCCCTGGCTCACCGCAGTAGTGGACGGTCCCGGGGGAAGTCCTCTCTTTCATCCAGGCCGCTGCAGGGCAGGGAGAGAAGGCTGGAGACCCAGGGCAGACCCCCAGGGTGGAGGAGGGGGCTTGGGGGGTGGGACTGTGGGGCCACAGAAACTGCCCCCTGTGGCCAAGCAAGGGGGCATGGAGGCAGCCAGCTTCTGCCCCCATCACCACCTGGCTCTTAGCCGGGCACGGACTGCTCCTACCCTTGCCTGTCACTGGGCTGGGGCGGGACACTGGTCCCTACTGGTCATACGAGTGGGTCCCGTGCCTAAGGGCAGGGGCCTTGACTCACGGAGCAAGCACTGCCTCTTCCAAAGCACGTGGCTCTGTGTGGGGCACACAGTGGGGGGAGGGGAGACGATTTCAACGTGGTCGGCACACAGCCATTAGCAATAGGGCGGCTGTAGAGATATTGATGGGGGAACAAGATCCAAGATACACGAAGAGCAGAACAGTGTGATACTCCGGTGCTATTCATATTAAAAGGGGTGAAAACCACGCATGTATATTTGCTTGCTGTGTGCATAGACTCTCCCCAGCAACGTGCCCAAGAAACTGGTAACTGTGGTTGCCTCTAGGGAGGGGGGCTGGGGGTCAGGAGTGAGCGGGGAAATTACTTTTCATGGTACTATTTTTCGCTATGGTCTTTTAAAATATTTTATTTATTTATTTGACAGAGAGAGCACAAGCAGGGGGAGTGGCAGGCAGAGGGAGAGAGAGAAGCCCGCTCCCCACGGAGCAGGGAGCCCGATGTGGGGCTCGATGTGGGGCTCGATCCCAGGACCCTGGGATCATGACCTGAGCCGAAGGCAGACACTTAACTGACTCAGCCACCCAGGCGCCCGCTTACTATGGTCTTTTTAGAAATCATGCACATGTATGACCTCATTACTTCTTTAATGAGAAACAACACAAAACAAACAAATGAAATAAAAAAAGGACAAAGGAGGACCTCATAGTACCCACGGGTCCCCATCAGCTGTGCTGGCCGTGTCCCCAGAGTGGAACTCCTACTCTTTAACTTCCCGCATGCCCTGCCCTAAGTTCTGTGGGCTTGACTGGGGCTGGGAGTGGGTTGGGGCTGGCGAGTTCGCCCAGGATCCCGTGGGGCTGAGATTTAGAACAGAGCCCAGACTGGGAGCAAGCAGCTGCCAGCCTAGCACAGAACAAGCCTGCCTGGTGTCCTGGCCCGACCGCCCACCGCCCTCGGTGTCCCGGGCCTGGAGCTGAGAAGGTGCGGCTCTCCCAGGCCATGCCCCACCTGATTTCCAGATGTCCAGGTGGGCGTGCAGCACGTCGCCACCCAGAGGGGAGCGCTGCCGGAACTGTTCCTCCGACATGGCACACAGCTCCTTGCCCCCCAACTCCTGGAAGGCTTTACCCACGGGCGGCAGCCGGTACTGGTGCTCTGTCCACAGGAGCCACTTCTGCACGTTGCCAGGGCTCCAGTCCACGGGGTCTGGGCAAGAGACACTCCCTCAGTTCCATGGGCTTCTCGTGGGGTGCCCCTGGGAACTGGAAGCAGCTTGTGGCCAGGACCCGGCCGGGTGAGAACAGGGCAGGCCAGACAGGGCCTGAGGGGCTCTGTGGAGGGGGCACCCGAGAAGAGAGGAGGGTGTGAAGGAGGAGTCAGGGCCCTAGAAACAAACTTGGCTCAGGGCAGGGTAGCCTGGGGTCTCTGCACCCCCCACCTCACCCGGACCTCAGGCCCCCCTGACTCCTCCAGTCCCTCCAAGGGGCCTTTCAGGAGGCCCCAGCCCTGGAGGAGAGAGTGACACTAAACCAGACACCTGAGCTTCTCTCTCAACTGCCTCTTGCCATACCCAAACACTTCAAGGGTTTCCTTCGAGGAACCAGAAAAAAAACAATACAACTAGGGAGGAGCCCTACAACCCCAGCCTGCCCCATGTTTTACGGATGAGGAAACTAAGGCACAGAGAGTTCTAGCCCCTGTCCAACACCCAACAAAGGGCTGCTCAGTGCATCTGCACTCAATAAATGAATGGCAGGGAATTGAGTGATCTGGGGCAGCTGTAGGCCTCAGAGGCCAGGAAGAGAGTCACTGGATGTCACTGGATGTCCCCCTGGGGAGCTGCTCTGGGCTGAGCCTGGCAGGGCACAAGGGGGAGGCCAGGCTGATGGGCATGGTCACAGTGGGGCCTCCAAGTGAACGCTGTGGTCTAAGCTGGTGCCCCAGCTAGGTGACCTGCAGGCTGGGCTGCCCCCACTTAATAAACCCATTTTCCTTTCCAAGGTCAAAGCAATTTGTTTCTGTCCCCATTGTTCAGAGGGCAGGCCCCTCCCTGGCCCGGTGTGGGAGAGGAGGCACCATGGGAACACCTCCAGGGGTGGGGACTGGCAGGGGCATTGGGTAACTGCAGGACTGGGGTAGGGCAGGACCTGCCTGGGCTGCGGAGCAGGGGGACACCAGCTGGGATGGTTGTGGGGAGGCGCTGGGCCTTGGCGACTCCAAGGAGGAGGGGCTGGGCCTGAGGGATGCCTGAAGACTTTTTGTGCAAAAGCAGCATGAGACTGAGATGCTCAAATGCCAGGACCCAGCATCCAAGGAGATGGGTCAGACCTGCCCAAAGCTGGAGAGACGATGTGGGAACAGGAGGCCTGGCAGCCTCTCAGCCCACAGCGGCAGCGCCATAACCACACTTTCCAGCTCCTGGCAGACACACAGGTGCCTGGACTCCTAATGCCCCCTCCTCATCAGAGCCCCCATCACCACCGGACCCGTGACACACTTATCTACGTGTCTCTGATCCGTTTCCCTCACTGTAATGTCAGCTTCATGAAGAAAGGGGCTTTTGTGTGGTGCTCACCACTCAATTCCCCCGTGCTAGAACAGGGCCTGGCATATTAAGAAGTTACTGTTTATTGAGCATTTACTATGTGCAAGGTGCCGTCCTAGGAACTGGGGATGTAACAGCAAACACAACAAGTGGAAATCCCTGCCCTGGGGGTGTGTACATTCCAGCAGGGGAGACACAGCAAATATGATAAATCAATAAAATACACAGGGTATCAGTACCTGCGATGGGAGAAGGCAAGCAGGGAGGAGGAGTAAGAGGTGGGGGTATGGACAGCAATTTCAATAGAGGCGTCAGGGAAAAAACATCAGAGCAGTACCATTTGAGTCAAGATCTGAAGGAGGCGAGGGGTGAGCCAAGTAAAGATTTGGGGGAAGAGCGTTTTAGATCGAGAGACCAGGAGATGCAAAGGTCCTGAGGTATGAGTGTCGTGGGAGCAGCGATGAGCAGGTGTGGCTGGAGCCAAGTAAATGAGGAGAGCATGGAGGTGAGTCCAAGGGGAGGTGGTGGGCCGGATGGTGTAGAGCTCGGATGCACTGCCCGCGGTAGTCAGGGCACAGAGAGGGTCGGAACCTTCCCAGGCGTACGGCTGCTACATGCTATGGGCTGACTGTATGTGCAGAATCACCAGCATCCTTGGGGCTGCTGAGGCTGGGCGGGGGGTGGCCGGAGTGCCGCAGGCAGCACCCTCGCCCCCGCTCGTGACCTCAGCCCTGACGGTGCCCCACCTTACAGAGGTGGGCCCGCGGAAGGGCTCACCTGCAGTGATGTTGAGTAGCTTACAGGCCGTCTCGATGTCCTTAAGCACCTCGCCCACCACCATGGACTGCACCTGCTCCAGGGAGTGCTCCTCCAGCATCAGCCCACCCGGTGCCAAGTCCAGGCTGCCCCCAGGGGCTTGGCTGTCGATGACCGGGCACTGCTCAGGCTCCTCAGGTGGCTCCTCCCGAGCGCTGGCCCCGGGACCCTTGGCGGCCCAGCTGCTGTCCTCGGAGTACAGCATGTCAAAGTAGGAGAGGTAGAAGGCAGACAGGCCCTGCTCAGGCGTGGCAGGTGGGCTGGGGCGCCAGTCCCGTCTCTCGGGCCCCACCGCCCCTGCGGCCACCTTTTCCAGGCCTGTCCGCAGCACAGTGTCGGGGGGCGGCAGGAGGCGGCTGGGGGACACGCTGCTCAGGCCGGGGCTGGCGCTGCCCATGCCGCCGTCGCTTGGGCCAGTGGCTGTGTCTACAGAAATAAGAGAGCATGGAGAATCAGGTTCTGGCTGCTTCCCCGCCCTGCTGGGGGCCGCTAAGCTGGTTACGGGGTTGAGGGGCTCAGTGGGCAGTGGCTGGGCCTGGGAGAGAGTTGGGGCTTCTGGGTCACTGGGCAGTTTAGGACAGGATTGGGCAGGTAGGCTTCTGGCTGCGAAAGACAGAGGTATAAACGGGCAACTCCGTCACTCCCCGAGGAAGCCAGGTTGGCTGAAAGCAGCAAATCTTTACACACGTGGCGTGCTTAAAACAACCTTCTGAGGTCCTTGACCTCACTGAATCCTCACCCATTAGGTGAGGATTCCCATTAGGAGGCACCCATTAGGAGGCACAATTAGACCCATTTGGTAGATGAGCAAACTGAGGCCTGTGGACAAGGAGTCTTTAATGTCTGGGCCTCTGGCCCTGGGCCAGCCCATGCCCAGATCCCAGTCCACTGCCCTGTGGAGGAAGTTCCTTCTGAGAGCTAACCTCAATCTTTCTTGCTATAGCAGAGCTTGTTTTCTTTTATTCTTCCCTTAGAGAGGGTAGGGAAGGGAGAAGGTCACCATCACCTTCACCTTCAGGTGAAGGAAGAAAGGAGCAAGTGAGGGGTGTGACAGGGTAGAATCCCCTTACAAGTCAGGGAGGCAGACCCCTTCCCCTCCAACAGGGTCATCTGGGGGGTACGAATAAATTTCCAGCTGAACACCGCTGAGGTAGTCACTGAACAACACCACACCCACTCAGGCCTGGGTTTCTGGCCCTCATCCCACCTCACGCTCCCCACAAATGCTGCCCCAGCCCCTCTCCGCTCCCAGGGGCTCTCTCATTTCCCCACGCTGCTGCGCAGACCTACAGGCCCAGCATGGGGAGGGGGAGCGGAGGGGGGATGCTGGTGTGGGGGCAGAGTGGGAGTCAGGGAGGACGAGATCAGGGGGTGGTGAGAAGGCCCATGCTCTGGGGAATGACAGAGGCCCCCAGCGACTCAGATACCCACTCCTCCTGCTGCCCCAAGGCCCCCCAGGGGGCACCATTTGGCCTCAACACAGAACCAGAGGCCTCTTTCCCCATCAGTCATGCAGGCTCTGCTTTGCCTCTGGGCCCTTTCTCTCTGAACCCCTTATTGGAGTAGGCAGCTTGGGTGAGTCAGGGACTCAGGAGATGTACACACACCAAGGCACCCGGCTTTCAGGGCTGTTCCTGTGATCTGTGGGCCCGGGACTCAAGTCCCGGTGGAAGATTATCAACATATACATGCCCCCAATAAAATCAGCATGGAGAAAAGGAACAGATAAACCTGTTAAGGGCAAGTTAACGTGTGTTCGTAAAGCCGTGTTTCTCACAATGTGGTGCCTGGACCAGCAGCAGCACCTGGGAACTTGGTAAAAAGGCAGATTCTCAGGCCCGCCTCAGAGCTACTGAATCAGAAGCTCGGGGAATCCCCGAGGCCTTGGGGGTGATTCTACACTTGTTCACGTTTGAGAATTGCTGCTTTAAAGGCATCCGGCCAGTAAGAGGGAGAGGCTTTAATCAAAGGACTGGTAGGCTCTCCTGGGGGCATTTACTGTGCCACACTGGGACAGGGAGTGGGGCTCCCTGCCCATTACGAGTCACCCCGTGGGACTGACCCGCTTAGCCTCGGTGTGCATTTGCCCTAAAGAACCCAGTTGGGAAGATACTTCTGGCTTCTTGGGGGCTGCAGCTAGCCCATTCCACACCTTCAAATATCTCAGCACATGGTGATCTTTCTCTCCGGATAGCAGTTTGGTGAATGGAGCCCAAGTGAGATTTCAACCCCCTCTTCTCCCCTCCCTTGCACAGTACCCAACCTTCCCAACTGTACATGGCAGCCGTGTAGTTTCCTGTGGCGGAGAGAATGCCAGCAAGAGAGCATGGTGTTCCCTTTGATTTCAACTCTCCCTTTCAAGGGCTCCTTTAAGTGACAAGGAAGGAAAGGTCAGGGTGGGGTGGGGTGAGCAGGGAAGGAGGGGGACTGGGGTTGCGGGGGACAGAGGGCAGGCCTGGAATCATTTCAAGGCCTTCTGTGCAAACACACATGTGTGCTGTGGGCCCAACATTATTTACCCAGGCAGTGCCAACAGCCCGCTCTGCTCCTGGGTCCCTACCCCCTAGGAGGCCCCACCCCTGGGAGCCTCTCTTGGCCCTCCACCCCTCCCTCATCACCCTTACCTGCCTCCCGCCCCATCCACGTCCCCAGAACTCCCATGCCTGCCACGTTAGGACAGTCTCTGCCAGCACCCTGGGCCATATGCCAGGAAGACGGAAGCTTTTCCAAGAAGCAGGAGAACTCGCTTCCCTCATGGCCCTTCTGTTTGCTTGGCCGCAGCCACAGGTCGGATGGGAGGCAGCTGCTGTGTTTCGGGGCACCGTGGCATGAGGGGTCAGTGAGGATGAAGGGGCAGGGCAGCATTTGCTGGGCAGGGACTTGACGACACGGCCCTGATACACTGAGTGAGTGCCGCTTGCAGCCGTCCCTCCCTGGAGAGAGGCAGCCCTGGCCTTATTCTCATTCCTATTCCATGGACGGGGAAGTGAAGGTGCAGAGTGCTAAGTGATTTGCATCCAGGTCTTCGGACTCCCGGCCCAGGGCTCCTTCAGGGGCAGAGAATTCTCACCTCCTCCCCACTCCGCATTCCAGCTCCCCCCTCACTTTGCACCTAAATGCCAAGGAACCTGCTCTCAACCAAGGCTTGGTCCCAGCTTCCAACACCTCCCTGGTGAAAAATAAGTTAATAATTAACCATGCGGTGGGAGGAAAGATCTGACTGTCCGCAAGTGGGGAGGTGGTGGGGAATGCTCTGATCCCAGCAGCCCAGATCTGGGGGGACTTTGGTTTACTGGTCAGGGAGCCCAGCCTGTAACTCTAGCGTCTCCTCCAGGCTCCGGGGCCAGACTTGGAGGGAAGACAGAACTGCTCAGCGAGCACCTTCTATACCCCAAGCATTCATGCCCATTATCTCCCTTTCTGCCCACAACTCCGGGGGATGTGGGTTCGAGAGTGCCGGGTTATAGATGTGGACAGTGAGGTTCAGAGATCTTACGCAGCTTGCTTCTTGAAGTCCCCAGCTGGCCACATGCAGGCTCTGCTCATTGTGCCACACTCCCTCTGAGGCTTCTGCTCTGACCGGTCCATTTTCCCAGAGTCCTGCCTTCCTTCTGATTAGGCCACTTGATCCTCCAAAGTCCATTCCCACCCCACTGTCAAGCTCATTTCCCTTCAACACTCCTTCATTGGGCACCCCTGGGCTCAAAAACCTCCCATGGCTCCCTATGGCCCGCCTTGCACAATTCCAATGACTGGTACCCACCTCCAAGCCTACCTCCTACCCAGCCCAGAGTTGGAAGGGACCACACATTACGCGATCGTTTTGTAGATCACATATGGGGAAGGGATTCATTTGCTGGTTAGTGGCAGGGTCCGGACCAGAACCAGGGATCGATCGACACCATATCTAGGCTCTAATGACAATGGCATTTCTCCCCTGGCCCCAGTGCTGTGGACACAACATGGCCATTTTCTCTTGTGCTGCCATCCCCCTGCCCAATACGCCCCTTCCCTTTCATCACAATTCAGCCCAAAGCCCTCCGCCCCCAGGAGGCCCTCCCCAACAGTTTCCTCCTCTGACTTCCCAACTGTGCCATGCAATTCAGCCATGATTATGTTCTCAGGTTCTCCCGAGAAGACAGGTGTGCCCTGGGGAAAATGACATTCAGAGAGTGGCAAGGACGTGCCCACAGTCACGGCCGACCTCGGACCAAACTGGGGGCCTGCTGAACCTCAGGCCAAGGCTCCATAGGCCTAGGGTCCTGGGACAAGCCCTGTGTTTGCCAGATCCACATCCTTAGGACGGCAGGCCCGGCCCTCCCACCAGCCCCTGCTGGGCCCGAGGTGCTGCCCGTCTCCCGAGCGATGCTTCCAGCTCCCAAACCTCGAGTTGATCTTTTCTGGATTAAACCACACGTCTGGATTAAGGCTCAGCATGTCCTGGCTCCCTTCTGCCCCGGAGGCTCTGGCTCAGACTCCAGACAAAGGAAGTTTGGTAACAGCTGGTGGAGGCCAAGGCCCAGATACAGGGCCAGATCGGTGGGGCAGCGGCCGGACGGATTAGCCCCTTCTCCCAGCCCCTCCCACTTCCTCAGGGAGGCAGATCAAGGAGAGAGGGCAGAGGGACCCAGAGTCAGAGATTTGTAGCAGCTGTTTCCTACCACGGCCTGGTCTGTGGCCCTGCAACTCCTCTGCCTGAGCCTGTCTCCCACATCCTGCTCAGTCCCGGCTCCCAGATCTTACCCTGGCGAGGGACTGTGGGTGGGACAAATGTTCTTGAGCCCCTACCTCAATCCTGAGACCCGACCTCAGTCTGCCCAGAGCCCAGGACCCAGGCTGCAGACCCCAGTGTGAGGAGCACCGAGGGAGAGTGGGCGGGGCAGGGAGTGACAGTGCCTAGCACTGAGCTGAGGTGGCCTTTCTCCACCAAGTGGGGCAGACCTACTCAGGCTTGCCCACCGTCCTGGCCACCAGCCCCTCTCCCTCCAGGCAAGGGTCTCCTTTAATAGGGGAGCCAGGGGACTGTGGGGGTGTGACTAGGGCCTGGCCAGGAGCCATGCAGAGTGGGTCGGGGCACAGGGGCTGACCCCCCCAGTCAGCCGGTCAGCACCTTGGAGAGAAGCCGGGACTGCCCAGGCCGCAGGGAGTCTGGGGCCAGTGCCCAACGACCTGCCTGAGCAACGTGTTTGGCTTCTCTGAACCTCCCTGCCTCGGGACCCAGCCTCGCCCCTCTAACTTCTCACTCTTCCGCTCCTCCTCCTGTCCCCTCACTTCTCCTGCCACGCTCCTGCCCTCCATGGAACCCCAGCTCCCTTGCCCTTTGAAACTGCTCTTCAGACAAGCTCGACCCAAGAAAAGTACCCAGCCTTCTCCTTACTGACCACCCCACCGTCCAGA